GGGCTCACACCAGTGGAAGTGGCTTGTGGGGGAATTGATGTTACTCCCACATCATCTTGAATGTTTTTTAGTTTTTATGTATAGGGCTTGTTTCTGTAGTTTGACTTTTAATTAATTAATTAATTTTAAGGAATGAGGGTATTTATTTTTTAACTGTTTGTGGCTTTTACTTTTATTGTGAGCTGCCCAGAGTCACTCACTGGGGGAGATGGGTGGCATACAAATTTAATAAATAATGGAATCTTCCAACTTTATGATTCTATGGGCACCTCCACATCACCACCATTTCTACTGCCCAGTCCATCAAAAGCAGTTTGATGATGCCTATACAGTACACATACTTTTTGGCAGAGAATGCCATATCTCAATGGCCTGATCTGGGGTCCTTGATGGAGCATAAATTGGCCACCAATCTGTGCAGAGTTGCCCCCTGTTCTATTGCATTTAAAAGAGTCATCAAATAATAGTTTCAGTATGAAGCTATGGCAATGGAACTAAATGGGGTGTGAAAAGAGGCTGTCTGGACAAGCCAGGAGGTGGGATGAGGCAGGAATTTCTACCATTTGGAGAATGGATTGCCCACAAGCTCTTCAGTGAAGAAAATAAAAAATTGCCTTTAGTGCAATTTCAACCATATTGTACCTGAGTCAGAAGCAAATCAGCTTAGCTGCCACAGATATAGAATCTGGAGTAGTGACTATCTTATCTGAAAGTGCCTTATGTTGCTATGTGTTCCATAAAGCAGGAGCAAGCTATGCACAGCTTACAAATAGCACATAGCTATCTTGAGGGTTTTCTACAATTCCTGAAGCCTCCATTTCATTTGCTGCCAAAGCTTGACAGCCAGACCATTGCTGCTAAAATCAGCTGCCCAGTTTCACAGTAACATCAGATTTAACTTTAATCAAAATCAAAAGAGTGGGAAAGAAATTCCAAATTGACTTAAGCGAAATAAGGAAACAGCTCTTTGAATAGAATGATGGAAAGATTTGCCTTTATTAAATAAATTTGTGTGAAATTGAACTCAAGAACATGAACATTAGATTCACTCTGATCATAAATTATATTTAAATCAGTTTAAAATGGCTTAGGGTTAAGTCTCTGCATTTCAAAGCCTTTTTAATGTCACATGTTGATGCCACACGTGCTGTGACATAGGCTTATATCGATTTCAGAGTATCAGTAAACATACATTCTCTTAAATTACAATGCAGACATAAAGTCTGGAAGCATCTTTAAGATTTGGTTAATCTTATTAGTATGGTCTGCTTTATTAGTATGCCCTAATTAAGTTGGTTACTCTTGAAGGTGCTACCAAGCTCCATGTCTGCTTTGTTGCCATAGACCACTGTTTCTCAACTTTAGCAAATTTAAAAGATGTGGATTTCAGCTCCCAGAATTCCCCAGCCAGCTTGTGGTTGTGGAATTCTGGGAATTGAAGTCCACACCTCTTAAAGCTGCTAAGGTTGAGAAACACTGCCATACACTTGTTTCTCCCCTGAAATATGGCCAAACTGATAATATGAGTGCAAGGTATAGTAGCTAAGAATGAAATTGATACTAAATCATTCTGCATTAAACCCCTCTGGCTTCATTTACTTTCTCCTTGGAGGCATTCACTTTTGAGTGCAACCATCAGCATAACTTATAGGTGTGAATGCAGACCTCAATCCAATTAGATTGCTTTATTCATTAAAAAACCCACGATTTGTATTATTATTATTATTATTATTATTATTATTATTATTATTATTTAAAGTAATTTTGCTCATACGCTTTTGGTTTAAGAAACCATCATAAGATAAGCATCTTCTAGAATAAATGAAAAATACAAAAGGGGAAATCCAACTAGAAATATTTATAAAAATGTGATTTGTTTCCAGGTGCATTCAATTTCCACTGTCATGATTTGCCCAGCCCTTGGGGACTTGAACTTCACTGTAGGTGGAGGGAACCAGACTGGAGAAAGTGAGATGCCGTTTACTTCTACCTCTCTTATGACAGTATACATGTAGGCCAATTATTCCAAAACCAGCATGAATATCTAATGTCCCTCTTCCAAAAGGAAGCCAAACCCAGGTAATATTACCATCTAGCACATCTCCTCTCAGAAAAAGTGGGACTTACCCAGCATCTGCCCCAGTAGCTCTCCAGCCTTCTCAGAAAACTCATTGTAACTGAGGTCCAGCTCTATCACTCTGTAATTGGCCTTAAAAAGAGTTGGTGCAGAAACCTGTAAACTCAGTTGTTGCCTTCTTGTTAAGCACTGGTTTTAAAACAAGACTCCCCTTGCTCACAAATGTCTGCTTGTGTTATGTGACAATCTACTTCTCCAAAGTGTCAATAATAATATTTCCAAGATAGTGCTGTATATACATCCATCCACCTTAGGACGTATACATGAGATACCCTTGTTGACCTAGTACCATCTCAGATAATGCTATTTTTGTATTCCCTCTCTGACTCTACTGGTAGAGGGCCAGTGTGTAATTAGCTATCCAGTCTTGAGGTAGCAAGTGGTCTTCAGAATAAAGCCAATCTGGTTTATTCCTCAGGAGACCTTACTGATGGGAAACTATAGTACACTGGAAACTACACTCAATGGTTTGGGTTACAGAATATGGTTCAAACAGACAGTCAGTTTCAGAGCATACCTTGTCCCTGGTTCTGATTCTGATTAGGGCTTCCCTCAGAGGAGGTAGAGAAGAGCTCAAAGTTATTAAATAATTATTAAAGAAGAAATTTTATTAAAGAGGCCTGCATTTTCTGCTGATGTCTCAAATAGAGACTTGAAGGAAATACAGTCCTTCCACCCAAGAGGCCATGTCTGATCACAGTTTGAGAGAAAAAAGATCCATTTATATATTTATTTATTTATTTTACAGTATTTAGAAGCCTCTTCAGTCCCAAGACTCTGGGTAACATACTTAAATGAAAAGAAAACCAAAACCATAACAATAAATAAGTAAATCTGAACAATATCCAAAACAAAAAAATAATCACATAAACCCCAATGAAACCCCAGATAGGAATCCACAGTTATTCATCTGGGACCATAAGTTCATTGAAATAAAAAGGTTTTAATTTATTTCCAGAACTCAGCAGTGTGTGTGTGTGTGGGGGGGTATGTCTGGAGGAGCAGTAATCCATAAAGTGATGGCTGTTACCAAGAAGGCCTGCCATCTTACCCATGCCCTAGGGGCCAAGGGGAGGGAACTTTGATGACCAGACTGGACAGACAGATTCAGTTCTGCTGAGGGATTGCCTGATGTATCCCAGTGCTGCACTGTTTAGAGCTTTAAAGTTAACGACCAGCACTTTGAATTGCACACAGAAGTCTGCAGCAACCAACGCAGATGAGTTTGTCCTCTTGTAATGCTTACTATTAGATCTTTACTGCCAGAGGTTATTCACTACTATCGCTTCAGGATGAGTCCTTCCTCTACTGAATGAGCAATGGAAGGTGTTGCATGCAGAAGCTTGCTGCATTTGTGGACAGGAGGAATTTTCCAGATATAGGCTTATGCTACGACTGGGGATGACTGAAGTTGTAATTCACATTCAAATGTGTAATTCACAAGTTTGGAAAGCTTATTTTAAAAGCTTCAGCTAGTTTTGAGAATTCTTTAAATGGTGTCATACATTTTTACCATGTATATACTGAAATGCCCCTTTTTTGTTCCAGATGCCCAGTTGTCCCTTTTAGCAAGTTACTTACCATTAAGGATTCAGAAAAGTATGGTGCTGTCTCATCTCTAAAATGGTTTCCTAAAGACAAAGAAAAAAAGGTGCTAAAAGGTTGGAGAGCTGTTTTATATAAGAAATGGTCCTTGTCTCATAAAAGAAGAATATATGACATAGTAGTAAGTCAAGAACAGGGGTATTATCTAAAACTAGGCAGCAATTCGTTCTAACAGGGCTTCAAACTGTTAGCCCATAAAAATGAGAATTATCAAAGTAGTTAATAAGAATATACCAACAAGTCTTTCTAAAAGCCATATTATTTTTAAAAAGATAAAAAGCTTAGAGAGTGATAACAATAACAAGAGGACAGGTTGTCAAACCTTGGAGTTTTGAGATACTATATGATATCAAGAGGATGACCTTTTTCATCCTCTTAATATCATATATTCAGGAATCTGATTTTGGAATGTAAGATCTTCTGAAAAAAATCTTCCATGTAAAGAATTCTCTTTGGGCTGGATAGAATTTCTTGATACTATAGGGTTACAGAATTTGATTGCTTTATATAGAGAAAACTGAAGATGTAAGTAGAAATAGCTTGACTTCCCTCTTGAATGTGGATAGTAAAAACATGAGTGCTTAGAATTTTTCCCCTTATTTAACTTTCTGCCTCTCCTTTTAATATTATTGATTTGGTATACAGTTACATAATTCAAACAATTATAAAGGCTTTGCTAGTTAAGAGGCATCAGCTGTAATCCTAAACTCACTGACCACATTTTTGGTTAGAAATGGGTTGACATAGTACAATTTTCTGCCTACAGCCCTACTGCATTAAATAGCCATATGCATATCAAATTTTGAAAGAAAAGTTCAAGCATAGACGACAATTAGGTACATCAAGTTCTATTAACAAAGAAATCAGTAGAAATTAAATTCTTCATTAGGTGCTTATATCCCAGTATTTTCAAAACAGAACTAAAATATAAACTCACATTTCCCTCTACTCTGCCTGGACAAGCAGGTTGTCTGGAAAGTGTGGAGCGCTATTTGGTTGGAGTTTTGGCCTTGCCTATCAGATGCAATTGAGGATTTCTGTCCTGTTCTGCTTGGATAAGCCAGCCTCTCCAGGCAGAGCAGGAAAAATGTGAGTTTTTCACTTAGCTGTAATGAGTGCAACCAGTTCTCATGAATTTAACCAAACTATATAACACTCATGGCTAGATAACACTCATGGTCGAGAAGGATGGTTGGAATTATATGTCAGCATCATTTAGAATTTGCACTATTTCTCTTCAGTTCAGTTCTAAATGTCTGAAATACATGCTTCTGGCCTACTTTGGTTATCTAAGATAGCTGCATTAGGGTAATATCTACATGGTCCAGTATTTTACCTAGCTGCAGAGTTGTCTATCCAGACCTCTCCATATCCTGACAACATCTCTCAAAGGCTAGAATCAGAGCCCTACTACCTAAGATTGTTTAAGTCAGTAAGCTGCCAGAGATGAAACTGGAATTTTACACATGCAAAGCATTAATTGTATTACCAAGCCATATATGACAAATTAAGTCAGCTGGCGTTTACAGAAGTAATCAAACATGCTATAAATCAGATAGAGGCAAGTAAAAGCCAGATCAAGATCTATGATTGCTTTTTAAATAATTTGCAAGGGAGGGAAGAAGGAAGGACGTGACTAATCTTATGCAGTTCTCATGTTTCTTACGTGTAAAAAGAAATATTGATTGATTGCTTTTGTTACTTGTTTCTTTTTCTTGTTTCTTTTTAGTTTTCATGAAGCTTTGCTATATGGAGTTAGAGGTTGGAAAATTCATGTTGAATTTTAGATCTGCACTACAGGCTTATATGGTGGGAGAAAATATTTCTGACCTGAAATGGCTCATATTTGGATTTGTGTGCCCAAGGTGGGGATCTGTGGTCCTAAACTACAAGTAGGGTTTAACCTGTATGCTCAGAGAGGAGGTATATGTTGGCAGTTACCAGGCAGCGACATCTGAAGGATCACAGTTTTCTCACCTTTGATTTACAGGCCCAAAAGGTGCAGATGTGGGCCAAATCATTGTTCTGTATACAGTCCCATCCCTGCCAGCCACAATCCTTGGATCTTTCAGTAGATCATTACTTTCTAAGAGCAAATGCCTTATTCTGTAAAGCTGATGCCTGAATATTGCTCTGTTGCATCATTCTACTCTTCTTATAGGAAATCTACCTGCAAGTCGAATGGCCCGGATATTAGAAATATTATTGAAAAACATCCCACAGATAGCTTCAGCTCCGTCAGTGTTGAGGTGATTATGGGAAATATTCTGAAAGGGAGGAGAAAAACATATAGGAAAGAGTTAAAAAAAAGAAAAAGAGGATGAAGTTGATCCACTTAGCAGTATTTGAACAATTGGATATTTGTGAATTCCTACAGAATGACACAGTCCACCAGTTTTCCAGACTGGTATGTCAGTCAGAATTTAACTAGCAAGATTTTACTCTTCTCCAAATGTTTTCTTTTTTCAAATGTCTATGTGTATGTTTATACACAGTTTAATGGACCTACATTTAGCCAAATGCATTTCACTGCTGTTGCAAGCTTTGAATGAAGACTACCAAAAGGGAGATATGAAAAAAAAATTGTATGAGGAATCAGCCACAAAAATGCACTTTCTCAGGTTTTCCCCATAGACATGAGAAGGGAAGGGTTGGAGGGCTAAGAAGCACATTTCGAAGTTGATGAACACTTGAAGAAGGCTAAATCCAGCAGCCTGATCTCCCAAGCAAAACTAAATGGCTTAAAACTCAGTGCTGATCAAATTTCCACTTAGACTTAACTATTATTGGGTTCATTGTACCCAAAGTAGTCTAGATCAGGCAGCTAAATTTACATTTAGTTCACACTTTTTGTGCTGATTTAAATCTTTTATGTAATGATGTCACTACACAAATGGCATAACTGCTGCAAGCAACATAATTTGTAATTTAATTTAATATTCAGGAATAACAAACCTCTCCCCCAATTAGTCCATTAAACTGATGTTTCTCTATGCCTTCACAAACACATACACACACTTAATTTTTGTAAATAATATATTCATTTGCAGATAAATAGATATTCATATCTAGCAACAAATTCTTTTTTCAGTTAGCAGATTATTGTGGAAATTGTATCAAACAAAATAGTTAAAAACAGAGAAACCAAAACATGGGATAAACATTGACCATTTCATCATTTTTATTGCACCTAATATAAGTTTCTAAAAGACAATGTATGTGCTAACACCTAGATCCACGGAATGTGTCTCTATTATTTATTTTACTGAACAGCATTTTCTGGGGCCTGCAACTGGAAGCAAGTGGAAGAAAATGGACCAATTTTATCAATGCAAAATTTGCCTCCCCTCCCACCCCCCACCCCCAGAAGATGACAAAGTACTCAACAACCATCTTCTCTGCTGAATTCTGAAGAAGAAGAGTGATGACGCTGAGAGACTAAGAAGGCACTCTAGTAACTTTGTGAATATAGTCAATGGGCCTGTTTGTTTACCATTCTTCACATAAGGAGGGCAAATTGTATAGGATTCTGGGGGGGAGGGATTGTAGGAAGCATTTAACACTTTTCCTCTTGCTGTCATAGCTACTTAAGCTGATTAGTAACTTCAAAATTTACAAAACACATATACAACTTTTATTGAGAAATAAGAATATAATAATAGTAATAATAGTACTGAACATGTGGGTTCTGCCACAAGTATTGTAGAATGGAATGCAGCTCTTCAGGATTCCAACAGTCCCTACTGTCCCATTTAATAATATTCCATTTGGTCACATTAACATTCAAATTTAATAGCAACTTTTGGATTTCCCTGAAGACAACACTCACTGCATGTTGGGGGCTGCATGTGACCCTAGGTTGTTCACCTTTGATAAAGATACAGTAAATCACAGGGTCAAACAAGAAAAGACTGTGAAACTCATAGCACATCCAGAAAATCATGAAATAGCCTGGCAGAATAGCCAGCCACAACTCTACAGTCCAGTACAAGAGAATTTCCTTTGTCATCCATATGAGGGAAACACGGAATACCATCTCTTGGATGTAGCAGTTCTCTCGAAGCATCTGTATTAAGTATCTCGTTCCTTCACCCAGAATCCAGTTATCCTCTAGCTCCAGGTGAGTGATGGTTGTGTTGGACTACAGAATGAAGAATTCAAAGAGGAAAAAAAATTGCAGACATTTAGTGACGTTAATTTACAAAAAACGGCCATTGCTATATCTGCCTTAAATATTGTTTTTGAAAACTCACAATCCCCAAACACTGATTGGGTTCTTATATCATGAAAAGCCATTGTTTGCTTAACTACAATCAACTGGGTTTACACAGTTGGTAAGCTACAAGGTATGATTTCCAAATCCTGGTCAGAGACAATTGAAATGCACCTAGAAGCCAAATGCCACCAGTAGTGGTGTTATCTGGGCAAAACTAGAAGTGCCCATAACAATTCAAGCTGCCACCTTCTGAACAACCAGCAGCTTCTGGGTGGTTTTGAAGGCCAGCCTCATAGATCACATTGAACATATTCACAGTGAGAGTCTTTAGTCTTTAGTCAATGCTGTATGCCTAAAACATTGTTAGATTAAAACATTTCTGTCTTTCCTCTTCATTGTTGTGTCTGTGTAGCAGACATTAAGGTTAGCATGTCAAATGTCTGTAACTCTCGCAGCTCATCATATCTATGCAACCAGTCAGTGGTTTAATGGCTTCATATAAAGAGGGTTGATATACCAGTTGGTCAATGTTAAAGTGAATTTAAAAAGTGCTGTGTGATTGTATGTTTAATATTCAGTAGAGCGCATTATTACTGTCAACTCTGCTCATCTCTGCTGTAAAGAACACAAAAGCAACACAATTCTGGTTACAATGCTTAAAAGGTGGGAGGAAGTAGGAAAGTTCATTGAAATTGCCAGTTTTACTATGTGCTTAAACCTAATCTAGCAGTGTTATAGTGTGATCTTTTAACCCTTCTTCCCCAAACAGGAAAAAGTGTGTTGAAGTGCACCAGGAAAAAGTACTTACAACCAGAGCAATAGCAATGGCTTTGGTTCCCTTTGGTCCAAGACCATGATGGTTGAGATTCATAACAGGCTCTTCCATGTTCCGGATGAAGTATGAGACAGGAATCACTCCCACCAGTTTGCACGCCTCTCTATACAGCTCTGCACCTTTTATAGTTGCAAATGAGCGCTCAGCATCTGCAAAGGAAACAATGTGGATGACAATGCATGCTCTTGCTCAATACAGAGAAAACAAACTAAGCCCCGTCAAGGGCTACACAAGACAATTATTAAAGAGAATAGAACTGGTGATCCTTAACATATCTGTGCATGCAAGTACTTCAGAAACTCCTCCTTATACATTGCAAGTGTGCACATTTCATGTTGACTCCATGAGAGCCATCCTGAAATGAAGTCACCAAATAGTCACCAAATTAGAAAGAGATCTAATTATCTTTCTTTCATATAGGTCAACCAAGCTTAGTCAACCAAGTCTTATTTATGCTCAGTGTAACAAGGGTATATGCTTACAGAGCAGACAGAGATGCACAAACTACATAACAGGTCTTCATTTCACTTGAAGTCTGGTACCAGTTTGGCCATGCATCACCCTCCCATGCGAAGAAGTGCTATTAGAGCTAGATTGTTTCAGATCATTTTTGATTTATGAATTCACTTTGATTAGGCCATTCCTGCCATATGGTGTTGACAAGACTACTTTATGACAGATCTATGTCTTCTTTTGGATTGGTGAACTACAATAAAAATAATCTCTTTAGGTGAGCAACAGAAGCCCTATTTTAAGGTGACAGCTACAGAGCACTTTGGGCAACTCTCACAAGATGAGGGTGGGGAATGTTTGCATAAAAGACAGAATAGAAACATTCACCTTCAATCTCAAGGTCTGTGTCAGAACTGTCTTCCCTCTTCTCTTCTGCTGCCTCAGAGACATCAGCAACTGACAGTATCTCCGCATAGGTGCTGATTTCCGATATCTCGCCATCTGCAACAAGATGAATTACTTTCTTTGTGAATGGAAGGTTCTTGTGACATTAAATTCATGGCATGCTGTTGATCAGTGAATCTATTAATGAATTTCAGAGAACTGTAGATAGCAGTTCATTTTCTTTTCTCGCTCTTTGGTTTACCTCACCCAGTTGTGCATAACATTCATGGAAAAGCTATTACAAGTCAGTGGATGTTATCTATGGCCAGAGTCAGAAGAGTTCACCACAAGCAGTCTTTTGAAGTTGTCCTCTAAGAGGCCTGCCGTCCTGGTTCAAAAGGATACTTTTGCTGGTTTCAAAAGGACACCATGCTAAGGTTAGAAAATCTCTTGTGTTTTCCCTGTTGTTTGCTCCTGTTATCAGAGTTACGCTCCCCACCATTTGTTGATCTTTCACCTAAAATTATGCCTTTTCCTTTTCTTTTCTAGTATTCCTTTCCTGCCACTAACTGGAAGACCCCAATAGTAATCTCCTGTAACAGTTGGACAAGAAGGTGATGTGCTGGGTTCTCCTTCAATGAAGTGAAATGGTTTGAATGTCAGCGTGCGCAAGAATCGGAAGCAAGATTTGTAACTAGATGCTGTTAGACATGATACCACTTCTCTCACTCCCAATTCATAATTTATTTTACAACTATGCAGAAGCAGGCTCTAGAAAATTTCCCTTTAAGAAATTCAAAACCATACAAGGGCCTCAGGTAATATTGTTATTATATATATATAATATGATTATATAATATATAATCATATAATCTGATACTGGTGTTCTGATTTTTCAGTTACCTTCTTGTGGGGGGTATGCAGGAAATTTTGCCTCTTCCTTCTACCCATTATGTTACTGACTTATAGTTTTGGACCCTTCTTAAGTGTTACTTAACATTCAAAGCTGACATGAGACCCAGATTGAGCCATCCAGCTCTGGATATGTGCAAAAAGAAAGAATGCTAGCTGTGGCCATTGACAGATCTCTCGTTTCACTGAATGAGTGCTCAAGGATGAACAACTAACCTGTCCAACAGCTCTTGTCTTTGCCTGTCATGGGATGATAGTTTGTGAAGAAGCAGCATTATTGGTACAATTCAAACCATGGTCAGGATTTCTAATTAGATACATAAAACTCCAACTCCTTCTTGATATCTAATGGTTATCCAGATTTTTGTAGCCAAGATCTGGTAGCCTTTAGACCTTAGATAAACTTTCTCTTAAAATGCAATATTTGTTACTCAGCCTATTTCTTAAAGTCCCTGGTTTCAGGCCAAACAAACATTTTGTTATAATAGTGTAGGAAGAGGGTAATATTTTGCACTCACAAGCTATATTTTTTCTTATGGGGGGGATGGTGACTTCACTAGAGAAAATTGTCAGGGAAGGGGAAGGATTAGGTAAATACTATAAGAAGGTTCATAGGAAGCTTACCATACCTATTTTGCTTATCAGTTACATTTTTAAAACAAATACTAATAATTGTGTAGCCGAATTCCAGCAATGCAACCTGCGAGAAGCTCATACGCAGTGAGTAAGCCATTGATCCCATTCCTGGTATTATTTAATTTGTAATAATAGTATTGTTTTATTCTTTGGGGCTAGGGATAGACGTTTTATTATTGGATACTTAATTGGGATGCATTTGTTTACATTTCTTACTACAAAGCTAAATGTCTCAGTGTTTTGTTTCTTCCTGAAAAGAAATGCATTGGCAAAGTTTTCTTCATTTCTGAATTTATACAAATCTGGCTACTGGCCCACTTTAGTCATACAAAGACATCTCCCCTTTTTGGATCTCATATGTATACAGAGTCAACATTGCACAATTATGACATTTGCTAGAAGTTGAATGGCATTCTTTTGGCCATGTTTATTTTTTTAAAAAATTAAACAATACATCTACTACAATCTCACCTTCCTCCTCCTCCTCTTCCTCCAAAAACTGTAAAAATTCCATGGTGTTGCTGAGAGATCAAGTAATCTATTGATTCTTCTTTACTGTATTGTAGTGATAGTTTCCTTTCTTTCAGGCCCTTCTAAAGCAAAACCTTTACCCAAGCCATCCAACAACTATTACGAATCACAGAAATGTTCATGTCTTAAAATGTCAGCTGGTGATGGAAAATCCCAAATTACATTGATTCTGATTATAATGACCACATTTCCACATCCCTAAGATTGCATGTATGTTATGCATGCTGATTGCCTCAACTTAAGTTCAGGTCACTTTAATTTCATTTCAAGTCTTCCATGACCTCACCTAGACATTATGACCTAAGATATATGATATCTCCTATAGTCACATAGCTGAGACTTGGGTCAAGTCTTCTTTGCTGAGCTGGATCAAAATGGATCAGAATTCAGGTCAGAGATCTTGTTTCGAAAGTGGTGCTGTTGGTAATTTAAGGGGCAGTGATGAGAAACCACATTAGATTGTGTATATTAATTTTTTCTAACATTCATGAAAAACTCTACTGTTTTGTCATTGTTGCACAAGCTGGCCAGGATTTTCTTTCAACAAGTATGGCAAATGCTGACTATTTCTGGCAGTATTCAGTTCAGGTGACCTATTAAATTAAAATATGGGTCTGATAATGAGCTGAACCACTGGTGACAACTGAAGCACAAATGAGCTGAATCACAGATATTCATACCCTATTTTCTGTGGCTATTTTCTAGTACGTTTTCTACCCACAATTCCCTGAGCTGCCCCTATTTGACTCTATAAATAACAGATTGGGGAGATTTAATTTGTACTTTTTTATTTATATGAAGCTTCAAATATTCCATAATCCTAGACCTGAAGCTACTTATTTAAACACTGAACAAGTTTTTATACTGGCCAGAGGTGGTATGAGCCAGTTTGGCCTAGTGATTAAGGCACCAGGCTAGAAACCAGGAGACTGTGAGTTCTAGTCCTGCCTTAGGCACAAAGCCCGCTGAGTGACCTTGGGCCAGTCACTCTCTCTCAGCCTAGGAAGGAGGCAATGGCAAACCACTTCTGAAAATCTTCCCAAGAAAACCGCATGGACTTGCCCAGGCAGTCACCAGGAGTCAAAGACTGACTCGAAGTTGCCAAAAAAGAAAAAAAAAGTGATATATATAATAAAATGGCCCATTATCCATGCTAGACACAGAAGAGAATGAATGAAGCTATATGCTGCTTCTATCATCCTCTTACGATCATAGTTATTTAAAAGATGAGTTATTGAATCCTAAGCATGGTCATCTCTAGATGAGACTCAGTTGTTTGCCACATTATATACTCCTGCTAGTTATTTTGGGTAACAGTAGAATATGAGCTGCCTATGATTCTAACTGGCTGAGGATATTCTGGTATTTCCTAATAAAGGCCATACTGGATATAATCAGCAGGTAAGAGTTTCCAGTTTTATAGCTAATTTGATCTTTGATTTACATAGAAAGCATGTAAATAAACTCAACTAGAGCCGGTGGTAGGGATGAGCAATTATGCAGACAATTCAACTGGAGTAATTCTGGGAGGAGTAATCACAGGGGTAAATTTAGTAAAACCATTCCCCATGAGTCAGCTGTGTGTTTATGTACATATGTCAGGAATAAGGTCAAAAGAGTAGAGAACTGGACCGGCGTAAATGCTAGGTTTTAAAAGCTTAAAACTAAGTAATTTAAGATATTAATACTAAAAAAAAAAGTATTGGCAGCTATTCTGACTGATGGCAGAAAAAAAAAATTAAAATGGACGACACTAATATATGTAATGGAAACTAGTAGGCAAACAAAAACTTCATCTTTATTTTAAAACAATGTAAGAAACTCAGCGACCATACAGCTCAGAATTTAAGAAATCTTCTCAGGTATTGACTTAAACTCAATACCCTATCAATGTATTGGGATTATGAGATAATGGGTAAACCCTGATTTGCACTGCTACACAACTATCTGGACAGTCAAACTGGGAGGCAAAGTCTTCAGCACCAGGGCTTGTAGCGGGATTACCCTCCATTGCGGCGTCTTCTACAGTACTAGCTGCCAATTTACACACCCATTTTTAAGAAGAATAAACTGCGATTGAACTCTGTCACCATATATAGTTAAGCAAGTGCTTCGCGGCTACCCCCTTCCATTAAACTCTTGGAAGTCCACCCATTCCGTTTTCCCTTCAACTAAGTCAGGGAGGGGAGGGGCTACGCCCCCCCCCGCTACGTTATTCCCCCGCCGGACAGCCCTGCGAGGTAGGATAGCCCCACGGCGCCCTTTCAATCTGGGTCTCTCCGCCCTTCTGCCAAACTGACAACAGCTCCAGCACGCGGGAGTATCCAACAGCGGCCGAATCTGGGATTAGCAGGGGCCGCGTAGAAAGGGGTGCGGTTTGGGGTTTGGCTTTCCGCGTGCTTCTCGCCGCAAGTCGGTGGGACCGGGGGAAGAGAGGCGGCGGGCGGGGCTGCGCGAAGTACCGTTCCGCCT